TGAAAAAAGGCATCAACGCAAGCATGTTTATGTCCAGATAGTGGGGAAACAACAGTTGCCGTGAAATCTAGCGGAAGATGAAACAACTAACCGGAGTCACTCGGTATAGTATGAATTCTGTTGTACACTTAAATGAATTAGTTCGCAACTTTGCTACACCAACAGCGAGTCATTCTCCATACCTGGTTCGAAAAAACAATTTTGTAAAAGTATGCTGCTGATGTAATCATCGACATAAATCATCCGAACTCAGATTTTTCAACCAAGCCACAAGTTTGTGTTGACGAGCTAGTGCAATAGTCGAAATCCCATTGCTTGATGCTGAACGCATCCAAGCGCATTGACATTCTGTTTTCACCTAATAAAGCAGCTTGCTACCAGAAAGCTGTCACGGACTGTCCCGAATCCGATGGTGACAGCTTGGGCTTCTCTACGACAGTGAATTATGCTGGAGCCAAACGGAGCCACGAGTTATTGTGTTCACCTTAAGTGAATGAAATATTCACCAGTCAGGCAAATATCGCTGGACGTCATCCGATTGCGATCACCGACTTGGGGATCGGAAGTTGCAACCTGTTTCCCAGGAAAGTGACCTCTGGATAATTGTGTCGGATGAATTTGACTGCTCGAAACAGGTCGAGAAAGCATCAAGAAAGGGTAGTCAGCAGGTTAGACTCTTACGGAAGGTTTTCAGAAAGTCCGAGCCATCTACGTTTCTGCAAATACTGAACGCCCATGTGAGGACCCACGTGGAATAAGCGATCCAAGCCTAGCGAACTTGACGCAAGCGTGAGGATAATGCACTTGGAGCTCCCCAACGTAGGCCGACTAAACTGGTTAGGGGGTTGTTTCATCTGCCTTAACAACGCAGGCTACAAGCCCTTAGATTGCATAGAGGTTAATGTCCGCGTCAGTGAGGAGACCTCATCCTGATTTAATTTATACTGATTAGTCCAAATCACGCCTGTCGCGACATGTTGTAACTCAGCCAAAGAACAAACCTGAGAGGCCACAAGCTTAAACTAGCTGCACACCATAACCGACTTCAGTGGCAAACAAAACATTTCTCCCTTCGAATATCCCGAACATGGAACCGTCTTCCAACTCCTGTCCTTTGTGCCTCTACAGGAACGCTTTGCAAAAAAAGCCTTGGCGACACGCTTTCCCATTTGCACTACTTGATATAGTCCGTTTCACATGGAGTAAGATATAACGCGAACCAGTATGTGCTCACCAGTCTTCTTCGAACTATAGCGGTTAGGTAACCTGCATCAGCTTCCTGGGAACAGCTAGGTGAGTCATTTTAATTCCGAATTTTCCCCTTTTTTCTGTCGCTTTTCTACCTTTGGTTTGACAATCCTCGTCAGTCCGGCCAACTTATGGGACTTGTCAAGCAACCGTACTTTACCAGTTCTAACTTGTTGATCATTGTTTCACTTTAGTTCGAGTCCTTTACTTAGGATTATTTAGTGTTGACACTTAATACAAAGTATCTTGGACACATGTCCACGAATGCTTGGAAGCGGATAGCATGACCCTACCATGCCTCCACACAACAGGGAACGGTTAATGGCACCCACAGTTACATTCCAGAACATCAGCTTTTCGCTGAAAATTAATTTTGAACAAGTCTCAATCCGCAGCCGAAACACCATACAAATAGCATGAACAATTTTCGACTGTCAAGATTAAACCACTGCAATCACGTGAGTGTTGCTAGAACTGTAAGCGTGGAGGCCACACGTGCAACCCCTCGGCATTCCACGGACTAACCCAAATTCATTTTGGAGCGATGGAGATCTGCTTGATCTGAATACTGATAGTAGCATCTGATTGAAACTCACTCACATTTTATACCCCGAAAAGCACGACTACTTCGAACAGTTCTAAACCAAAGCAGATGATTAAATAAATAAATAAATAAATTGTACCTTCCTCGACGATAGAGAAGCTGTTTCCTAGAAGAAACAGATCAAATAATGGTACGACCTTCCTATGACATTGCATTAATACTTTTTCAGAAATAAACCTGGGCGCAATTTCAAATCAAGTAACACAAAGTAATAAAGAATCGTTTTGCCATTTTTTCCTGTCCTTGAACCAGGATTCTTCACAATCACATGACAGATCTAGGGGCCGCAAAAAATGAAATGAAATAAATGGGGCTGTTGTCCGAAATGCTGTGTTTCGAAAGTTTTTCAGGCATCATCGATACCGTTTTCGAAAGCGTTACCTATGGACTGTGATATCCCGAATATGTTAATCACGTTTTGGATGGTTAACTGCTTACTAATCGCAAGCTTAAATTGCAGTCTATGGCATGTTCTGATAACACTCGGAAGTTTGTCGCAAACCTTTGAGTAGTGGATTAGAAAGAAACCTCTGATTCTCTTAGTAAATTTTTGAATAATGACCTTTATATCTTTGTTACGGATTGGATATCTGCTGTTAAAAGATGTGAACACCGTTATCTAGACTGCGAATATGACGGTCTATGATTCTGTAAAGAAAAAATAGGTTCAGCTCCATTCTCCGTAGCCACACTGGGTCAAATCCAAATTTATCACATCATCGCCTTCTGCTTGTCAACGTTGAGGAATATCCACATAGCTTTTCCGTGAAGCGTCTCTGGACCCTCTCAAGAGCACGCTGGTCAGATTTCCGCAGATTAGACTGAACCACCGAACAGTATTCCATACACGGTAGTACATAAGTTTTGTAAAGCGATATGCGAGATTCCGTGAGGTAAACATGATGACAGATGTTCTTCATGGCTATCGAAACTTGAAAGTCACAATGTTCGGAAGAGTTAAAAATGACTGAATATCGCACGCCAAAGTCGCAAACTGTTCTACATTGCGAGATATATGCGCCTTGTAGTAATAAACTGTCTGGCGGTACTTGGCATTTGTATGACAAAATATTACACTTGTCCACGGCAAATGACATCTGGCACAGTTGGCACCAGGAGTCAAGGGCAAATAGGCCATCCTGAATGAGACGTACGGCTTCCTGGGTGTTAGCACGTGGTTGTGCGTAGACAACTTTAATGTCATCAGCAAAGATAAATGTAACACCATTCCGTATTCTCTGGAATATATGGTTAATATATACTAAAAAAGAAAAGGACCAAGAACACTCCCTTGAATCAGTCCACTGGTGATTGCCTTCGTTTTAGGGAAATGGTCGCCAATGCGCACAACCTGCTGTCTACCAATTAGATATGAAGAAAGCCAAGAGAACATCGGTTCTCCAATGCCTATAGCCTTCAGTTTGTTTAGTAACCTTCTATGAGGCACTCTATCAAGGGCATTTTGCAAATCCAGCAACAGGTTTACGACACTGTTTCCGTTGTCAATGGCAGCCGTTGTGTTGCTTAAAAAGCCACTCTGTCATGTTGCGCAGAATCGACCTGGCATGAAGCCGTGTTGCGAATTGCTGATGATGTTAGCCTTGTACAAGAAAACAAATAGTTCATCTTTCACTATCCTTTCCCTTATTCTAGATACGATGGGTGTGTGATTGATGGGACGAAAGTTTCAACATCTGGACGGCGTCATTTTTATGTCGCAGGATAACGACCGAAGTTTTCCACTGACTAGGGTATACTCCGTTTTAAAAGAGAGTGTGAAGATGTTGAGCAAAAATAGAAGGAAGTCACTACCACTGCTTTTTATTAAACAAGGCGGATCCCATCAGGGTTTGCGCAAGTTGAGGAGCATAAGCAGGAAACTTGATCAGTGATTTTTGCTATACTGAATTCCACTGTGCATAGACTTACATAGTTGTGCGGTATAATAAGTGCCGGTGTGTCTGATGATTCCGCGACCATTGATTCGGCAACTTAAGCACTGAAAGCTTCGCAGATATCATCTGATGCGTCTTAGTAGGTTCCATCAGGCGTGGTGATAAAATTGATATTGTTGCTGCAACGCGAACCCCTGGCACAATCCCCAGGGATGTACCTTAAAATACCTTTCAAACGGATACTTTAATTCATGCTGCGCAGCGCCAAGTGGAACCTAAACACCAATTGCAATGAACTGAACTGTATGGTATCACGGACTTCGTTTTGTTGCGTGATGACTGGGATGAAAATGTATTGGATGAATCGAGCTGAGAAAGCAAGATGAAAGCACGAACAAGGACCCACATTAAACCGGCCAACAATCTCAACGGTACGCCGGTTCAGTGTACCAGGACAGCTTCGGCCAACAAAATGGAATCACTCGTCTCTGGACGCAGAACGTAGGGGAACGCGGATGAATATACAATTCTCAGAATCCAACCGCACTAGGGACTGTGGACCGTGTAGCCCAACATAGCTGAGATCACTTTGTAGGTAGATCTAGTAAGAGAAATAACAGCGAGATATAGTTAATCACGGTGGTGACTCCGTGACTCCTTTAGTGCTGTACGCGTACTAGATGCTACCCATCGGCTTGTAAAATCCGAGACAGCTTGGAGCACAGTAAAACAAAAGCCGACGGTCCAACTATCACCCGGTTAAGCTCCCAGATGGGGATTCCACCACCATGCCTTCGACATGATCTAAGTGACAGCGTTAATCCATTGATGTACCAACGAAAGATGAAGGCATACACATACCCATATTATCGACGAGCAGATCATGCAAGATGGTCCCCAAAGGGCGCAGCACGGTGTTCTGCATGAAGGAGTAGCATGCATCTGAGAACCCCACCGTCACACCAATCACAGCGAATGAACAAAATCGCCGGCAACTTTGTTAGATGTGCTCACGGCAGCAGAATGCAGTACATATTGGCAGTGGAATAAAACATGTAAGCCATTACAAACGATAGAAAAAAAGGACGGCTAATGGGTAGGACCTTCAAAAAGCCAAGCGACACAAGGTGCAGGGCTACAGGAGTTTGGTGCACACAAATAACGAATGAGGGAAGCAAGTGAGCCACCTCAGCGGAAAGCACGTCGACTTACGTTAGAGTTCACCTATGGACAAAAAGCAACGGGACCACAAAACTGTTAAAAAAACGAAATTTTAGGTTATGTGAAAGTGAAGTATGTAAGTTCAGTATCATTAACATTATCAAAAGTACGAATTCATTCAATGTCCAGTGATGACTCGTTAAATCATCGACGAAAAAAATAGAAACCAGTTCCCGCTACAGCCAGGAAGCGATACTCCAGAATATTAAAATAGTTTCGAAACGGCATGCATGAGCTGGGGAGTTCGGGGGTTTTAATTCGGCGGTCTCCAGTTGGTCAGGGACCAAGTAGGCAGTCAGAAGCACTACAATTTAGCGGAGTTATTTTTGGATGAATCGAAGGGTCCCACAATTGGCGCGAGTGATCGAAAATCAATGCGCGTGCGGAACAGTCTGAAATCAAGCACTTTCCCTAGAGCTTCAGCTGCTTCTGTTCCATGAGTAGGGTGAAAACAAGGTTGGGGAAATGGCAACAACAATCGATGACCCCATCGTTGGTAAGCTTAGATCGATCGATCAAATGTCACCAGGCACTGCTTGTTATTCTATATGGTAGAATGTGGCCACCAACTTTGCACAGGTAGGATGAGAAGTGCCACAAGTTCCAGTTGATACCATACGTTGCGTGTCGATGACCGAAAGGTTGAGGTATTCACAGTTTAGAGCAAGCGGGTATCGACTTTTCCTCTGATTGTTGTGAAGGAACTAAGTGGGCTCTGTCAGGAGGTATGCTCCTGGATTCATGTGGCTGTCATTTCAACCGGCTAGCAGTGTGCGCACCTGAGGAGAATTGGCGACATAGTTGAACTGATAGTATCCCACAAAAGCATTGGGCGTGACCATTGGTTTAAGGTTCACTGGTGAGTAAACGACATCCTGATACATACACGTGATAGCACAAAAACGGTGAGTTTGAAGCATTTGGTAACCACTTGGATGACAGAAAATGGGCAATTTGCCGAGATGTAGAACCAACCCTATTACCCTCTGAGATACGTATCCCACTAATAGCAAGTACGATAGCCGTTTGGCGTGAATTTTATGTAGACCATAACGGCGAGAAGCATCGAGCCACATGTTACCTCTATCAGGTTTAACCGCTCGAGAGAATCACTGAGGTTACTGCATTAGATATCCGCGTTATCAGAGCTAAGAAAGGCTACAAACCACAACCGAACATCGTATAGAATATTCCCAACGCGTATGAATCTCGGAAACAACCAACCCGATTGGCGGTTGTGCGTGTGACGTTATCAACTAGTTGCTTCACTTTTGTGATGAAGGGAGTAGATGCTGCAGTGATCGACAACACGTTCAGAGTGTACACAAAAAGAGTCATAAATGACTCGCAATGTAAAAGCTCATGCAGATGACGCGATCAAATGAACTCCGATCGTCCATTGTAACCAATGACAGGCCATCGGGTGGGCTCAATCATGTTTTCTGCCGGAGACACAACTAACGGAGAACACAAGCCGAAAAGGCATGAATTTACTGAGACCAACTTCAAAAAGAGGGACCAGTTATCATTCTAGGGAAGCTAATCGAACGACCACGTTCATTGAGTAGACGCATACGAGAATGCGTCTGTTTTAATAATCATGTTCTTGGCCTACGTACGAAGCGTATCAAGTTCACACCGGTGTTAGGGCAATGGTTCAGGTTGCTCCCGGGGGCACACATCCTTGAACCTGGTATGCCCAAGGAAAGAGCGAAACGCTGGCAAAATGCGCCAGCACCATTGTGGTTCCGGTTGCTTCGCTACGATAGGAGCCTTGCCATGGGTTTAAATTTCCCACGCGTAGTAGCTTCCCGTGAGCATCCAGGTCCGAGCCGATCATGCGGAAGCCTGGAGACTTGTTTTCATACCTCCGAGTACTACTTCCTTGCTTTTACACTACTCATGGCGCGTTGGAGTTGTGAAACGTATGGTACCGCTGATCCCCTTACAGGTGAACATGTGGCAGTCTTCGGTTATGGTGACAGGTTAATCCGAGAACGGGTGCCGCTAGTCTCCGCTTCCGGTGAGAAAGATAAGCTGCCAAATGTTAGCGCGCCACATTGTCATTCATCCAAGCTGAAGAAGTGGCCTGACAGGACATGTTCCAAGCCAATTTCTGGTCAACAAATCTGATACGCGATCCCTTACATGTACTCGCTAACAAAATGTGTCTGTCTTGCGTTCCTAGCGTTCATTGGATATGGGTAGATTACCCATGAAGCACGCTTAATAAGATAACCCACACGTATGTTTCACTTATCACTGGAACTGTGCTTAAACGAGGAGGCACGGGTCGTTACCCTAAACTCCGCGGGAGTTCGTGGAGATCGGAACCCCAAATCTGGTGATTTACAAATCTGACGAACCCTGTGGAAAGCAAGCCGCACGCGAATGAAGCGGGTCTATCGGTCAAAAGTGCGAGATCCATGCGTCACTCTGCTAGTCTAGTGGTGCTAGTATCGCAACGGCCGAAATACCGTTGGTTTGGGTAAGCAAAAGAGGAAAGTAAGTGGAATCCGACTGACTAGACTTATGGAGCGAAGATACGTAACCGCCTCGTAATTACTTCACAGAATGCAACGAAATGTAATCTAAGGAATCAACGGGTTGCACATAACGGTTACTGACGATTGCTTTCCCGTTGCTCTAGAAACCATAAGTAAAACTTATAATCGCATGGTTTAACAAAAGAAGTGCGCCCGATTCTCCGCAGTCTGTCACAAATACGTGAAGCATCCCGAACCTTTATGCTTACCAAAAAAGCCCGTACAAGTAGGCATCGAAGATGTCAGCTAGCTTAGTGACAAACTGTTTGCAAGCAAACTGCCAGGCTCGGCGAGTAAATCAAAACTTCAAAATAGAATATACCAAGTATCCCCAACGCTGAAAGAGACACCGACGCCTACCACGGCCACCATGAACTTCCATGCGATTTGTTGTGTTTTCTTTTACTATTACTGTACCATCTTTTGAGTCCCATGGTTTCTGGTGGCTCCTGTCTACTCGCAGACTGTTGCTAAAAATAAAACTAAATACCACGGCCACGAAAAGAGATTCAACTTCCTTCGGTAAATAAGTGCACTAATACTGGTAGCCAGCTGTATAGAACAGAGTAGTAGGCTTGATCGATGTCTGTCGAAATGTAGGAGCAAATACACGAAGGACGATTATGTTGTCCTGCTGATTTGCTTCCCCCGTGAGACTGTGACTGTCTGTCTGCTCAGCCACGCGCCCAGCCACCCGTAAGGATGCAAAAGACCAAGGCTCGGTAAACACGGTATATTCTACTGCATAAGTCAACTCTATTTATTGGTGGATGAAACGTACTAATTTTGGAAGCACAGGCCACCCACTCTTCTGCGTCTAGTTCTCAGCCAATGGGAGTGAATTCTGTCCCACGGGTTTTCCATATTTGGCAGAATGGTTCGCCTCCTTCGACGCGGGCTTGTATTTGATGGCCAATCAACTCGCACCCGATTCCCATATTTGGCGGAACAGACGAAGGTCGTATTCCACACCAGTGCTGATGAGCTTCACATGCAGCAGACAGCTCACCTGCTCCGCGGTAAGCCCGCGCGCAACCTCGTATTTAGACATTGGCTCCGCTTACCTCTCTATTACTCGCCCCTTCGAATTGATCGCTCCTACCTATTTTCCGCACTCGGGCTTCGTCGTAGCTTTTTACGCTGGGGTCCACTTGTAGCCATTGCGCTTGCCATCTTCTTCCACTTGGTCTGCATGACAAGTCGTGTGGCACCTGGGCGACCGGCTGTGTTCCGCTTTGGGGGTCAATTCCGTTTTCCAAACCAAATGTATCTAGTAGTATATCCCACTGTAGTGCTGCTGGTTCTTAAGGTCTTTGAGTGTTTCCATGCCACGGTCGTAGATGATTGACGTTTCTGGTCCACATGTCCTTTCTGACCATTATCTCATAAATAACCTCACCCCTCTTGTCATAACCGTTCCGATAGACCATCTTCCCAGGGTCTGGAAGTTTCGTGTGTACACCAAATCGCCGATCTTGAACCTCCGAAGCCTGTTATCATACTATTCTCTCGTTTGTCCGTTGCATTTTCCAACATTTCTGGAGATCAGGCTATCGAATGTCGTTCTACGTTTTCGTCCAAATAGACATTCAGCAAGAGGTTTTCCCTCCGGTGTGTTTGGATTCCGAGTGTTTTGATACATTCGCAAAAACAGCTGAATTGCATCGCGTGACACCCTCGTACTTTTAGCTTTGAGAAGGTATCTACGAACTATTCCACCTGCCCATTCGATTGTGGTTGGTACGGCGGCGAAAACTTGTGCTGGATTCCGTTTTGCATACAAAATTATCGGAACAGCGTTGATATGAATTATGCTCTGTGGTCCATAACCAGCATCTCCGGTGCGTGGAACAGTTTGCTCAGCTAATTGATAGTGTGCTGGGCGGTGGGATTTTACATCGGAATCACGTCGGGCCACTTTGTGTAGGAATGGACAAAAATCAGATAAGATTGACAGACGATTGGTCCTGCATAATCCAAGTGGACTCATTGTCAGGGCTTCTCTGACTCGGGCCAAGCTTGCCACGGAAGTTTTGGGGGGACCTTCGCCACTTGCTGACAAGATTCATGGCTTTGGCAAAACTGTTTGATTTCTGAATCCATTTGAGGCCAGTACACAAAACTTCGTGTTAGTGCCTTCATTCGGCTGGTTCCCGGATGTCCTAAATGAAACGGCTGTAGGATACGCTACCGAAACTTCCTTGGTAACACGACTTAGTCTCCAAACATTAGACACTTGTCAACGACCGAAATAGATCCGCGCCGATTGAAGAATGGTCGTAACTCAGTCGAAATTCTGATAGTAGGCCAACTGGAATGCACAAACCCTGTCACTTTCAGAAAGATTTCGTCTTGAGCCGTCTCTGCACGAATTGTGTCCGAAGTTACTGGTACTTCCCTTACACTGTCAACCAGGATCCGCTAAACTTCCGACTCAGATTTGACAGATGCGATCACGCAGTCATCGTTTTCTTCCGAGTGGGAACTGATGAGACGAGATAGAGCGTCAGCTTGGCCGAGTTGTTGAGTAGATCGGTATTGTATACTGAAATCGTAAGCCAGCAGTACGGTTACTCATCTCTGTAACCGACTTGATGTGAAAACAGGAATACCCTACTTTTACTCAAATATCGAGAGTAAATGATTGTGGTCCGTGATCAGTTTGAAATGTCTACCATATAGCATCTTGTGAAACCGTTTCATTGCGAAAACAATTGCCAGCGCTTCCTTCTCAAGCTGGCTGTAATTCTTCTCCGCTACTGTCAGCGACCGCGCCTTATCTTCTCGTGGAACCGGGGGAAATGGCAGCACCTACTTCATTATTGGAGGCGTCCGAAGCAAAAACAAGCTCAAAATTTGGGTTGAAGTGGGTCAAGAGCAAATCAGAACTAAGCGCTGGCTTAACTGTATCAAAGGGTTGTTAGCACTCTTTTGTCCATCGCCATTCTTTCCCTTCCATCAGCAACTCGTTTAGAAGACTTCTTGTCTGATGTAGACTTGGCAAGAAGACACTATAATGGCTTACAAGGCCGAGAAAGCAACGAAGTTCGGCAACCTCTTTTGGCGGTGGCATCGGCTTGACGGCTTCTATATTAGCGGGATCCGGATGCCGGCCATGTTTGTTATTGATTAACCCGAGAAACGACACTCTCCATCAGGAAATTGCATGTTTCAAACTCATAACCTGAAGCCAGCTTCTTCTAGACATGAAGGCACTTTCTCTAACGTGGCTA